AGGATAGCATTCCTCAGGTAACAGAAGCAAGAGCCCGAAGAAGATTCTAGGGCTGTTCTGCTGTCATGAAACCAGGGCGAGGGTTGGGGGAGTCACCAATACTGTGGGGTGGGGAGAAAATGAAGGGGTAACAATGGAGAAACACTGCCCAGGTTCACCCTCCATTCCATTTTCTTCACCTGCCGCCTGGCTACTGCCAACCTGGAAATAAACCAGGCCTGCGGCGAGGAGAAAAAGCAAGGAAAGAGTATTGAATGGGGCTTCTGGAAGACAGAGTTGGCTCCTTTGTCCTCTCTCCAAAAGAAGCTGAAAAGTTCACATCCCCAGCCTCCCTTACAAGTGGCACACCCATGTGACACATTCTGGCCAATGTGACCTTACACAGAAGTTTGCAAGGAGCTTCTGGGCAGATTTTCATTTTTCTGATAAAAAGGCAGAAATGGGGCACCTGTCCTTTCTTCAGCCCCCCATGATGCTCAGAGCTCTGCAAGCTCTCTTTCATGCAGTGCCTCACTCTTAAATATCAACATAGAGCCAGGGATCACCACTGCCTGAGAAACACAAGGAAAAGGCTAGAGCAGCTCAGATTAACCTCATTTTTTTTTTCCCAAAACTAACAACCTCCAAACTTGGCTTATTTGAAAAAAATACACTTTTATTGTTTTTTGTTTTAGTCAGTGTTTTTTGTTGCTTGAAACAAAACACTCCTGACACACGGTAGTTGGTGGGGAAACAAGTAAAAGGAGGAGGTTAAGGAAATGACAAGCAGTACCAGAGGTGGGAGGGGAGGACAATTCCCATGGCAGCTTATTAGGCCCAAGTAGCCAGTTATAGTATAAAGGACTGTCTCTATTAATTATTAATAATAATAATATAATTAATACTAATAGAAATATAGTAAAAGTCCATTTTTGGGAAAAAATACAAGACATAGAATACAAGTTTTCCACAAATTTTGAATGGGATGCAGATTCCCACCTAAAATTTTTTCATGTTTGTTGAAACGTCATAGTTTTGCTGATATTTCCCTAAAGTACCCATGAAACATATAAAATTTATTTTATAGCATGTGCATTTATTCCCTTTCATGTTTCAATTAGATCTTGACGGGAAAGACAAAGGCACATGTGAATATTAATGGAGTCTTTGGATATACAAAGATGTGAAGACATATGGCCACAAAAACAAAATGGAAGACAACTCTAATTAAATTGCTTCATCTGCTCAAAAAAGAGAAAGTCTATACATGTTTGGATAAGAATCTGATTTGCATCATCACTCACGCCCACCTGAACCTGATCTACACTGCAGCGTCTCAGGCTTCCGGAGAGAAAAGATACTCTCAAAAAGGAGAAACCACCTTGGCCCCAGCCTCTGAGGAGGAGGAGGTTTACAGAAAATTCACCCGAAGGAAGGGGAGCTGGAGGTGATTGGGAGACACTGGGGGTGGGCAGGGGATAAAGCTTTTGAAAGAAATCCATGGTGTTGTTCTTGACATATCCTCTTGGTCGATCACCTAGGAATGTGTTCAGATCATCAAAGAAGTTGACTCGAAAACTAAACAAGCCAATCTACCCTTCGGGGATTTAATAAAAAAACAGGGTTAGCTGAAAACACTCCGTGCCCAACCCCATCCATGGGGAAAAAAAATGTCACGGTAAGGAGAGCCCTCAGAAGCAGAGAAGGAAGCAATGGCGGCTGAGCAGCAAGAGCAGGACAGCCTCAACATCCACCAGGGAGAGTCCCTGAGTGCCTGTTAAAGGAAGACGGAGGTACGGACTTGGGACCCAGTGACTCTGATGAGTTGCGGTTTAGACTCAGGAGAGACTCTCATTTCACTGCAGTTACTCATCCTTGCCTGCCCTTCCTCATCAGGCAGGCCAACGCAGGGTAAGAGAAATGCCACCCCCACACACAATCCACTGCCCACTTGGTAAATCCTGAGACGCCATAACTCCATAGCTCATAGTCTAAGAAGCACAGTCTTAGAAGAAAAAAACCAGGGTGGCCTGGTGGCACAGCGGTGAAGTTCGCACGTTCCGCTTCTCAGCGGCCTGGATTTCGCTGGTTCGGATCCCGGGTGTGGACATGGCACTTCTTGGCAAGCTATGCTGTGGTAGGCATCCCACATATAAAGGAGAGGAAGATGGGCACAGATGTTAGCTCAGGGCCAGGCTTCCTCAGCAAAAAGAGGACTAGAAGTAGCTAGCTGAGGGCTAATCTTCCTCAAAAACAAAAACAAAAACAAAAACACTCTGGGGCTGGCCCCGTGGCCGACTGGTTAAGTTCTCGCGCTCCGCTGCAGGCGGCCCAGCGTTTCGTTGGTTCGAATCCTGGGCGCGGACATGGCACTGCTCATCAAACCACGCTGAGGCAGCGTCCCACATGCCACAACTAGAAGGATCCACAATGAAGAATATACAACTATGTGCTGGGGGGCTTTGGGGAGAAAAAGGAAAAAATAAAATCTTTAAAAAAAACACAAAAAAACCTAGCTCTAATGGCTAATATTCCAGCAAAGAGGCTACAGCTTGAACATAACTGTGCTTTGCTGTTTTTGAAAAGGTGTAAATATCACTGAGTGCAGTCTTGAACCTAAGTCCTGATCCTTGATAGTAATAATAAAAATACTAAGATACAAACTTTTATTTTTTAAAAAGTTCACTCACAGCTACTTTTATAAATATATCATTAACAAATTAATACAATTCTGTCTCTATGTTTAGGGAAAGTATTTCCAAGGAGCTCCTAAGTAGGTTACCTCACTGAAAGCATGGGATGAATAAGACCGAGGTCAGAAGTAATATACTAGTAAAAGCCAGGTGACTTTGAAAAGGAGCTACTTGCTTCCGTGGACACAGGCTCCATTCCTATACCTGGCAATAGGCACAACTATATGCTGTTGCTTCCAAAATAACAGGCCAGGGACTCGATGTTGATTATCATAACCACTGGAAAATAATTTGGTCAGTAACATTGTCTTCATTCATTCATACATCCAACAAACATTTCCTGAATGCCAACCATGTGCCAGACACTGTTATAGGCACCAGGGAACACAGCAGTGGACAAAGCAGACAAAACTCCTTGCCCTCATGGAACTTCCATTCCATTTGAGGAATACAGACCTTAAGTAAAACACATAGTTTGTTCACTGGTGGTAAGTGCAACGGAGAAAAACAAAGCAAGGAAGAGGACGGGACGGAGACTGTGGCGCGGGCCTCTAATTTAGACAGAGTTGTCAATGAAAGCCTCACTGAGACAATATTTGAGCAAAGACCTGTGAAGGAGAGAGCCATGTGGATATCTGGGGGACAGACAGGTCCAGAAAGAGTAAAAAGCAAGTGCAAAGACCCTTGGTCAGAATGCCTTGGTCCACAAACAGTAAGGAGGTCAGAGGCTGGTAACAGGACCAGGTCACATAGGGCCATAAGGGCTATTGTAAAGGCTTGCCTTTAACTCACAGAGTCTCAGAGCCACCGGAGGGTTCAGGGCTGAGTGCTGTGCTCTAACTTATCTCTTAACTGGGTAACTGGCTACCCCCCAAGACGGGAGAAGGACAACGGCAGAAGCAGGAAGACCAGTTGGGAAGCTGCTACATTAATCCAGGCAGGAGATGCTGCTGACTAGGACCAGGGTGAGAGCAAGGGAATAGTAAGAAGTGGTCAGAGTCCGGACATATTTTAAAGACAAGTTTTCCTGATGGATTAGATATGAAAGAAAGAAAGCAATTGGAAGGAGGGTGTTGCCAGTAATTGAGACAATGGAAGCCTGTTAGGAAGAACTAGTTTTAGGGGGAAGGTCAAGAGTTGTTTTGCAAATACTAAAGTAAACCAGGAAAGATGCCCAGTACATCACTGAAGTTGCAGATCTGGAGTTCAAGGGAGAAGTGTGGACTGGAAACAAAAATGAATTGTCAATATACACATGGCTTGTAAAGCCTTGAGACTGGATAGTGGAGAACAGAAAGGATTCAAGGACCTAGTCCTAGTCCTGGACACTCCAAGATTAACAATCAGGGACGTGAGGAGTGTGTGGGTGTTAAGGGCAAGCTAATGCGAGCATCCCAAAGCAGGGTCAGATTCTTAACCCTTTTCTATCTTGAGAGCCTAGCGCATGGGACATTGTGGATGGCAAACAAACGGAGGGATAATTCAACAAAAATTTAAGGAACATCTATTCTGTTGTAGCACAAGTGCCAGGAACAGGGGAAACAGCAATGAACCAAAGTAAATTCCCGACACTTGCACTCTAACAAGCAGACCAGGGAGGATAACAGGTGGCAAAAATCAAAAATCCTTAACGTCGAAATGGCTTTCCCAGGAACCTGTAACCTCCAACCTAACATATAAAGAAAGAAAAGGTGGCTTTGGGGCTTATGTGGAGGCTCTCCCTGGTGGCTATCCTGCCTCCCTCAGCTGGAGCCAGGCCAACGCAAACTTCCTCCTAAATGGTTTCCATACGCATCCAGTGCAGAAGATCCGTAAATTAAGTCCTCGGATCCAAAGGACGAGACTACACTCCGCCGGGGAGGGGAGGGGACGGCGGGGAGGGGTGATGGTGACCTTATCTGAGCCGCCGACTGTCCCCCGCGGGCCTCGAGCCTCCGTTCCCAGCTCACCCGCCCTGGGCCCGGCAGCCTCACCCCACAGTCCATCTGTCCGCCTGTGGCTCTGTCCGGCAGCAAGAGGGTCGGTTTCCATGGAACTAAGACAGCGCTTTAAACCAACGCGCTCCCCGGCACGGTCGTTCCCGTACGCAGGCGCATCCGTGACAGAGCATGCCGGGAATTGCAGTTTTCCCGGCCCAGGAGGGCCCTCCTCCCGGGGCGGACCCAGGCCGGAATCCGGCGGCGCGCACGGAATACGCAGCCCCGTGACCCGGATGACGACAGGGCTCCATTGTGCTCGCGAGCGGGGCACGCCGGGATATGTAGTTTCCTCCCGCTCACCTCCTGGAGGTCCAGTTCTCTCCGCTTGGAGTTACTAGTCTCACTCCAGTGAACGTGTGGCGTTTGGGTAACCTGGCGAACGCATACCCAGCAGCGGGCGAGAGGCCAAGATTAGAAAATGTTTTTAGTTTCAGGAGGACTGAAGTATCAAGTAACTTCGGAATGACAGGAAAGTAACCGATTTTGTTAATGAGCGTAAAAAATGGTAAAAATACAGAGCTCAAACAGTTTTCTCGTTAAAGGAAAAACCGAACCCCTCTTCATCCTCGTCCATGATGGCCAGACGGAGAGTAAAACACTTGGAATCTGCTCTCTTGTCTTTTGTCTTTTCTCCCTAATTTATTTCTCCCCTTGTCGACAGGTAAGTGAATAGGTATTTCTAAATCTAACTGTAAGTAGCTAAGAAACGAGAAAGAACATTGAAAATAAAACTGCATCCATTTCTGAGTTGTTTTGCTGCAAGAGTGGGGATGCACACTTAATGAGAAGGCTTCTGCAGTGAAAAGACAGCACGACTTTGCGTTTAGGTAGCTGGGGAGAACACCTGTTACCACCACCGGGCAATTAACGCATTCCTCTCGTCTCCTTGGGGGCGCAGCTGAGAATAACTTCAGCCCTCAGATGAGTGCAGTCAGATGCGAGATGAGTCCTCATTTGCTTAGCAAGTGGTTGGACTGAATTGGTCTGGCTATTCTGTTTCTTCTGATAGCCGAGCCTCAACGTGAGATGGAGAGAATGTCCATCAAACCAGAGCTGTAAGACATTCATCAACCAGTGAGCCCAACCGGTGAAAGAGAAATGAGCACAGCATACATTATTCAGGTGAAGGAACCAAATAAAGCTTTTAATATGAAAAGTGGGAGGGTATTTTAGAGCGTCAATGCAAAGACCCAATTATTCTCTCGGTATGTACATTTTCTCTTGCAATGACCTCTGATTTATCTGTGGAGATGAGGAATATGTATGACTCCACAGATAATCCACCTGCATCAGTGTAGTGCGAGTTTTCACCTTCTCCTTGAATCTCCATATTAAGCAGCAGTTAGGAAACTAAATTGATTAAATTTAGTGTTTTTCATTTCTTTTCCTCTATCCGCCATCTGGCAAAACCATATAAGAACTTAAGCAATTACAAAGTCAGAGAAAAGAATCTGAAGTCTTCAATAAACCAATTCATCTGCTGGAAAACCACTCTCTGGCTACCTGAGAATTCATTATATTAAAATTCTGTTTTTATTCTTTCAAGTGCCTGAACATATTGATTTTCTTTCTGATTTCCCTCTTGATTTTCAATTAATAAATGGTTTTCCTACTTATTGACCCCATTCATAAAACAAGGTCTTTTCAGTCATGGAATTCCAGAGATTCCATGAGGACCACACACTGTCTCACTACAATACTATAATAGCCTTCTAACTGGTTTTCCATCACCCTTCCCAATGCATCTTTCATCAGCTACTAATGTTTTTAAAAAGTAACTTTATCTCGGTCCCTTGCTGAAAAACATTTAATAATTCTCCCTTTGAACTAGTAGTTTTTCCATTCAACAGGACGAGGCCCAAACTGCTAATGGCTTCAGCCTAATCTGCCAGCCTCACGTGCACCTGATCCCCCAAGGGAACCTTGAATTCCAGCCTCCTGGCGTGTCTTTGTGCTTGCAGGCTCTGCACCCTCTGCCAGGCATGCCTTTCCTCTTGTCAGTTTGGCAAACCCAACAGAAATTTAACCTCTTCTGTGAAGCCGTTCTGTCCCCTCCCAAAGTACTTACTGCGCTGCATTGTAATCGTCAGTGTGTCTCATCTCCCCTTAATTAGACTGTAAACTACTTGAGGACAGGAGTTTTGTTGTTTTGATTTTGGTTTTTTATTTTCAACGCCAAGCTCAGTGCCTGGTACACAGTAGAGGCTTGCTGAGTCCTTGTTAATTGAGTGAGTTAAGGAATATGTTTTGAATGCTTCTCCTGGCAGAGGCTATGTCTCATTCTCTTGACTATATATTCTATTTGTAGACCAGGAAAAGGCATCTGCTTTCTTCCAGAGCTGGCAATGATTTGACATTGCAATTACACAAATGACAGCAAAGTTACCTGCAACCACTTCCTCTTGGAGTTGAAAATGTATCCTGTGGATAAAGAAATGCAAACACGAAAAATCAAAGTTTTCATATCTCGTTGATACAATGGAGGAAAGTGAATGGCAGATTCACTAAGCAGTTCCTCTCCTTACGTGGGCAGTCCAGACCTCTTGGTAAAGTGTTGACTCTGGGTATAGAGATTAGAATTTAGAGGAGCCTCTGACTTTTTAATGAACTGAGGAATCAGCCCAGGACTGCGAAGATAAATCTGTTAGTTGAATCGGTCTAGGGTAACAACACTTCTTATAAGGTCTCTCTCACTTAGCTTCACCAACTGAATTTTGTGGTCAAGTGGATTTTCACATTGTTCTATTGACCAAACTTAAAAATAAGGTCAAGGTTATGAGCATGTTGCTGTAGCTCTGTTTTACATTTCTTAAGATTAGAGTACTCTTTTGGTCTTAATAGGATGACAAAAGGAAAAGGAAGAAATATGAGTGTTCTTTAAATTGGCTCACATAGATCAGCTGCGTGCTATTTCTGAAATGTTCTGATTAAAAACAATAACAGTGTGTATCACCTAGTGAATCTGTTACCTATGGGTGTTTTGCATATATTGTCTCACATGGTTCTGGCTGTAACTTTAAGATGTAGTAATTATATTCTCATTTTACTGAGACAACTGAGATTTGGGGAAGCTAAGTAACTTGTCTAGGGCCATACAGCCAGGAAGAGCCAGAATGGTTGTTGGGACTTGGGTCTGTCTGGCTTCAAAGCCCCTGCTTTTCAGTCTGATTCCATCTCCTACCCGTTCTCCACTCTATTCTGACAACAGTGGGTCAAGACAGAAGTATCAGTCTCTAACTATGAGATGAGAAATACGTGCCTTAACTCCACACAATGGAAAAACACACATTTATAAAAGAAAATAAGGAAATATAGGTGGCATAAGGGTATTTATGCCATTCTTGCTAATTTTCTGTATGTCTTAAAATTTTTTCATAATAAAAAATTGGAAAAGAAAAGGAAGGAAATCTCTATGTACTTTTATGGAAAGTTTCCAGGATATATTTTAAGTGAAAAAAGCAAGGTGTTGTGTGAAAACGGGGGTAAGAATTTTGTATTTGTCTAAATAAGCACTAGGAGGATCTCTGTAGGTAGGGTGACCATATAATTTCCATCTTAACCAAGATAATTCTTCACAAGCTTTGTATTATGACATAATTTTAGATTTACAAACCCGTTGCAAAAACAGCAAAGAGTTCCTGTATACCCTTCACTCAGCTTCCACTAACGTTAACATCTTATGTAATCATGGTACGATGATCAAAACTAAGAAGTTAATACTTGTACAATACAATCAACTGAACCACAGACTTCATTTGGATTTCACCAGATTGCTCACTAACGTTCTTTTTCTGTTCCAGGATGTAATCCAGGGTCTTACATTGCATTTACTTGTCCTGTCTCCTTCCTCAGGCTTTGTCTTTTCATGACCTGGGGATTTTTGAAGACTACTGGTCAGTTATTTTGTAAAATGTCCCTCCATTGGGTTTGTCGTGATTTCTCAAGATTAGATCAAGGTTATGCATTTTGGGAACAATACCACAAAAGTGATGTTGTGCACTTCCTGGTGCATCGTATCTGGGGGTACGTGATGTATGGGTCTTATTACTGTTTGTTACTATTCATCAGTTGCTTATGGTGACGTCTACTAGATTTCTCCACTATGATCTTACAATGTTGCTCTCTGTAACTGATAAATATTTGGAGAGAGATATTTGTGTCTGTTTCTCCTTAAACGTTCACTCACTAATTTTAGCTGGTATATCTCGGTAGCAGCAGTTATTATGCTATTCTGATAGTGACTGTATAGTTTCCTCATTTATTAATTGGAATTCTTTTGTGGAGAGGAGTTGTATGTTTTCTCCTGTTTATTTATTTGGTTATTTATTTATATCAGTATGGGCTTATCGATAATTATTCTTTGGGTTATAATTCAAAACTATCATTGCTTTATTGTTCAAATTGTTCCAGGTTTGGCCATTTGGAGACCACTGAGGAGCTGCTGTGTCCCATCTTATCTTTCTTTTTTTAAGCACTTCCTTATTTTCTGTCACTGCAAGATTTCCAGGCTCAGCTTATATTTTCCCTGCCCAGCCTTAGATTCAACCACTTCTCCAAGGAGACCTATTCCTTTGTATTATAGTATTTAAAATTTGAGTGCTAGGGTGTCACTGCTGCTAGTTCCTCTCAGAAGATGGAGATAGGAAATATATGTATAAATACCAACCCATGCATGTACTTACATATCTATATTTCTGTCTCTGTCTGTATATATATATTTTTACATATATGTAAATGTGTATATATATAAATAAAACAGGAGTTCATACTGGTACTCCCACTCAAATCCAGCACCTCAACTTATTCTAACCTTTGCCCTTTCTTTACCTTCAACTCCTTTCTATGGCTGTAGGAAACCTGACTCTCATTATCTACAACATGTCTATTTGTTCAACCCTAGTCCACACATATAGTAGTTTTAAAAATTGCTAACCCAGGGGCCAGCCCCGTGGCTGAGTGGTTAAGCTCGTGTACTCCGCTTTGGTGGCCCAGGTTTTTGCCAGTTCGGATCTTGGGCAAGGACATGGCACCACTCATCAAGCCATGCTGAGGCGGTATCCCACATGCCACAACTAGAAGGACCCACAACTAAAAAAAATATACAACTATGTTCTGGGGGGCTTTGGGGCTAGGAAGGAAAAATAAAAATTTTTTTAAAAAATTGCTAACCCATACCCAGTGAGAAACAAATTGAAAACTAGAGCATATTGCTTGGGTGTACGTCTTTTTGTCGTTGGCCTGCACTACCCAGTCAAAACACTGTTTTCCAAAGTTTCTTAGGTCAGCTCCCTTCTCCTCTACCTGCTTCAGTGTGGCTGTTTGATTTGTTTGTAATACAGTTTGATTTGGGGCTCACAGTCTACATTCCATTTTGTGTTCTGCCCACATCCTGCTTGGTTTTATTTTATTTGCATACAGTAAAATTCACTTTTTTGTGTACACAAAAGTGGGTTTTGACAAGTTATTTGAGTCTTAGTTCTCCCACAATTGTATGCAAAATAGTTTCCTCACCCTCAAAATTCCGTCATGCTTCCCCATTTGAGCCAATCTCTTCCCCTACCTCCCAGTTGCTGGCAACCAGTGATGTGCTTTCCATACCTATAATTTTGCTTTTCAAAATGTCACATTGATGGAGTCATACCCTTTTGGGTCTAACTTCTTTCGTTTAGCAGATGTATTTAAGATTCATCCATTTGTTGGGTGAATCAGTAATTCATTTTTGTAGCTGACTAGCATTCCACTGTATGGATATATCACACTTTGCTTATTCGTTTACTGGTTGAAGGACTTCTGTGTGGTTTCCAGTTTTGGGTGATGATTAATAAGGCTGCTGTAAACATTTGCATAGAGGTTTTGTGTGAAAATCAATTTTTCATTTCTTTTGGATAAATGCCTAGGAGTTGGATTGCTGGATTATATAGAAGGTAAATGTTTAAGTTTGTAAGAAACTGCCAAACTTCTTTCCAAAGTGGCTCTACCATTTTGCGTGGAATGTATGACATTCCTAGTTGCTCTTTGTCCTTGTCACCACTTGATATTGTCAGTATTTTTTCTAGCCATTCTAGTAAATGTGTAGTGGTATCTTGTTATGGTTTAATTTACATCTCCTCATTGAGTAATGATGTTGAACATATTTTCATATGCACATATCTTTTTTTAGTAAAGTGTCTATTCATACATTTTGCCGATTTTTTTAATTGAGTGGTTTTCTTCTTGATGAATTTTTTGAGATACAACTCATTTATCAAAACGTGATTTGACAATATTTTCATTTTCAAGTCTATGGCTCATCTTTTCATTCTCTGAACAGTGTCTTCTGCAGAGTAAAAGCTTTTAGTTTTGATAGAGTCCAATTTACCAGTTTTTTCTTTTATGGATTGTGCTTTTGGGGTCGTATCTAAAAACTCTTTGCCTAACCATAGGTCATGCAGATTTTTTCTTATGCTTTCTTCTAGACGTTGTATTGTGCTTTACCTCTAGGGCTGTGATCCACTTAGAATTAATTTTGTAAGATAAGATATGAGGTATAGATTGTGGGTTTTTTGTGTTTTATTTTTGGCTTATGGACATCCAATTATTCCAACACTATTGTTGGAAAGATTATCCATCCTTTCTCCATTGAATTGCCTTTGCACCATTGTCAAAAATCAGTTGAACATATTTATGTGAGCCTCTTTCTAGGCTCTCCATTCTGGTCCATTGGCCTATGTATCTTTGTTGCCATCAGTGCCACAGTGTCTCTGATTACTCCAGTCTGTAGTAATACTTGAAATAAAAAATTGTAGTCCTCCAACTTTGTTCTTTTTCAAATTTATTTTGGCTGTACTAGTTCCTTTGACTTTTCCTAGAAATTTAAAAATCAACTTGATTCCTACAAAAAGTTCTGCTAGGATTTTGATTGGGAATATGCTGAATCTATATATCAAATTGGAGAGAATTAATATTAATATTATTGAGTCTATCCTTGAACATGATATATCTTTCCACTTCTTTACATCTTCTTTGGTTTCTTTAATCAGTGTATTGTAGTTGTCAGCATATAGATCCTATACATATTTTGTTAGATTTATATCTAGCTTTTTTTTTTTTTTTTGGTGCTATTGTAGATAGTATAGCTTTTGTATTTTGATCTCTTATCCTGTGACCTTGCTAAACTATCACTTATTCGTTTTAGGGATTTTTTTTGTATATTTTTTGGGATTTTCTACATAAACAGTCCTGTCATGTATAAATAGAGTATTTTTGCCCCTTAAAATCTGAATGACTTTATTTTTCTCACCTTGTTGCACTGGCTAGGACTTTCACAGTGATGTTGAATAGGAATAGTGAAAGCGTATCCTTGCCTGATTCCCATTAAGTTTGATGTTAGTTGTAGGTTTTTTATAGTTGTCCTTTATCAGGTTAAGGAAGTCTCCTTCCATTCCTAGTGTGCTGAGAGTTTTTGTTATGAAGAGATGTCGAATTTTGTGAAATGCTATTGAGATGATTGTACAGATTTTTTTTTTTAGTCTGGTATTCTGGTGAATTACATTGACTTTTCAAAGGCTTAACCAACCTTGCATTCCTAGGATAAACCCCACTAGGTTATTCGGTATTACCCTTTTTATATATTCCTATATTTGATTTGATTTGTTGAGGACTTTTGTGTCTGTTTGTGGGAGATGTTGGTCTTTATTTTTCTTTTGTAGTAATGTGTTTGGTTGTGACATTACGATAATGCCAGCCACATAAAATGCATTGGGAAGTGTTTCCTCTTCTTATTTTTTTCTGAAATAGATTGTATAGAATTGGTATTATTTCTTCCTTAAAATGTTTTCTAGAATTTTCAAGTGAAACATCTGGGTATAGAGTTTTCTTTGTTGAAAGGTTTTTAACTACAAATTCAATTTATTTAATAATTATTGGGCTATTGTTTTGGGGCTTTTTCTCTGAGTAAATTTAGTTTGTGTCTCTTAAGGATTTGTCCCTTTAAGTTCTTGAATTTATGAGCATAGAGTTGTTTGCAGCCTTCCCTTATTATTATTTTAATCTCTGTGAGGATGTCATGATAGTCCCTCTTTATTTCCTAATATTGGTAATTTTTGTCTTCTCTCTTTTTTTTCTTGGTCAGTCTGGCTAGAGGTTTTACCAATCTTATTGATTTTTTTTAAAGACCTGGCTTTTGGTTTCAATGATTTTTCTCTATTGTTTTCCTGTTTATTGATTTTTTTTCTCTGTTTATTATTTAAACCAGAATACTTTTGAGAGTAAAAGGGCTTACTATTAATAATTAAACCAAGACAAAAGGCATAAACTGGAAATGTTCCAGGAAAACTAGGATGTGTGGTCACCCTGCCTCTATAGGATATGTAGGAATGGGGGAATAGGTAGATGGAAACTTCTGTGAAGATAAAACTTTACAGTGTATGCCTTTTAGTATTATTTTTATTTTAAATCATTTGAATGCATAACCTATTCAAAAATAAAATAAATGTACTTCTTCAAATATCTGGCATAATTCCTGGCATAGAGTAAGATCTCAGTGTATGCTGTTGAATGAATGAATGAATGATCCAGTTAGCATTGGTGATTACCTGAGTTTCATTGGAGAAAATGGGATAATCATTATACATCCAACTCTGAAATCTACAGCATGTGTATCACAATTGAATGATTGTTTTGCTCTGTATTCCTAACCTGCAGGTTTGATAACATACATATTATCATCACAGATTTAGTTATTTTGTTTTCATTATTTATATCTTTCCAGTTCATTCGAGGCATCTTACCTGTGAAGAAAGAGTAAACTGCAGCTTACTGTAGAAACTCAGGAGGAAGGAAAAGGATATCGCTGAGGGTCTCCCCTGCTCTCTTCCTTTTCCTCAAAACCTGTGCTCCACCTACATGGTTGTTGTAGGGATTTCCATTCTGTACACGGTTCTGTATGTATGCCCCATGCACAACCAAAGTCTCTTCCACATGATTTTTGGCCAAGAGAACCTCCACAATAGTAGGAAAATTTATGAGAAGTAAGATTTATAACGTGATTGTTTAGGATTCAGTGTCTGGATGAAATGTTATCAAAGCTGCAGTCAGGACCTTTTCAGTTGTGTCTGAGACTCAGCTGCTTTATTGGATGTGTAGCATATCCTTGAATTCCATGAGTCAATAAATCAGATGACTTGAATACAATTTTTATTTGTGGAATGAAAAAGGATTATAGCATCGTTTCTTGTTCTGTGGATTTGGGAAAAATCATCTCTCTCTCTTAAAAATCATATCTTTTATACATATCTTTTTTTTTTTTAAAGATTGGCACCTGAGCTAACAACTGTTGCCTATCTTTTTTTTTCCTGCTTTTTCTCCCCAAATCCCCCCAGTACGTAGTTGTATATTTCAGTTGTGGGTCCTTCTGGTTGTGCTATGTGGGACATTGCCTCAGCACGGCTCCATGAGTGGTGCCATGTCCGCACCCAGGATCTGAACCAGTGAAACCCTGGGCTGCCGACGCGGAGCACACAAACTCAACTACTCCGCCAGGGGGCTGGCCCCTATATATACGTATGTTAAAAAACTGATTTGATAAGTTAAATGTAAGTAATACATTTTTAAAAATACATTCAAAAGATAACTATTTCTGGAAATAATAAGAATGCTCCTAGTTATAGTAAGCAAAGATTAACCCAGCCCTTCAAAACACAAGGCTCTGAGATAAGCTACAGATCAATATTACAAAAGGAATGTGTCTCATCCAAAACGTACAAAATTTCAAGTGCGTGAAAAGTGGAAATTAAAATAACATTTCACGTAGACATTGAACTCTAAACAACCAGTTTGTGAATCTTATTTTTCAGGATTTAATCCTTTATTGCGAAGGTTCTGTGATTCCTTTGTAAATCTTTATTAATTATACTTGGACACGGATGGTGCTTTGTTACAATAATGGTAACCCCCTACAGCATATAAATATA